AGTTTTTAGCTGAAGATTTTAAAGAGTTGGTACAAGATTCTGTTGAAGTTTCAGCTCAATAAGAGCAAAAACAGATTTTCTTCAAATTTTAGAAATTCGAGGGCGATTTATCAGGCTGGAAATTGGAGCATGTCATTGTTCAAAAATTCAAGTCTTCTTGATCCGTGCAATTGCGATCTTCAGTTTTTGGCTGGAAACTCCAAAGGTTTGCTGTTATATTCGCAAGAAGTTTTAGCTCAATAGCGCGAGAAATAAATTTTTTGCAAATTTTTGAATTTTTTTTTGCTGGGAATTGTTCAGTTTATTGTTGAAAAATTCACGTATTTCAAGTCTGCCCAGGTGTGATGGTTAGTTTTAACTGAAGAACATCAACCTGTCGCGAGTTGAGTTTACATAAAGTTCAGTGCAAAAGGGCCAGAAATCAAAATTCTATCATTTTTTGAACTTTGAGTTGAATAAGTGTTTTGGAATTGCGCAGTTGAATATTCAACAATTAATTGCTCCAAACAGAGCACAAGTAGATTCTTGATTTTTTCACCCCAGCTTCCGAAGGGGTTTATCTAGTTGCTCAGTAAGTTTCAGCTCAATGGGCTAAAGGGTCGATTTTTAATGATTTTTTCTGATTCAGCATGTACCATTGATTGAAAGAATTTACTATAATCTTCGGCATCAAGATTCGTTTTAACGGCAAGCGAAGGGGTAGTAACCCACAATAACCTCGGCGCGCCAAACTTGGAAACAGGGGGATGGGAAAAACGGTACGTCGTTGGAGAACGAGTGGGGATCGGGCGGGTGGCCGTCCAGGTCAATGGACCTTTTGTAGGGGCGCCGCCCCAAAAATCGGCATCCCCACGGAGCGGGAAAGAAGTTTTCCGGAAAAACGTTTTTCCGAGTTTTAAAACGTGTGGCTCTCATTGTAAATCAGGGGTTTGTTCCTGAAATTAAACGCAGAAAACAGTGGTTTTGCAACTACACCCTGTACATGATGGGGAGCGTGGAACCCTACAAGGACGCGCCCAAAGTGCTCAAAGTGAATGCCATGGAAAAATTCGCACACGTGCTCCGTTTATATACATTCAAATGGACCAAGCAAATACAAAACTGCCCTAAAATGTTCTTTTCAATGTATTCAAACAGGTATAGGGGGTTGCAGTTTCCTTCCGGGGTGGATTCGGCCTTGTCGATGATCCGCGATGTTGCCGACCGAGACAATTTATTTGCGAAAAATGCTCCTACTGCGCCTCAGAAAACCCGAAGGGTTTTCTGCTTTTAGTGTCAAAAAACTCGCGTTTTCTCTGTTAGGTATGCGCGAATAAAAGAGGATAGAATAATGGGATTGACGTTTACCTAAGCGATTAAAAGAAGGCTTTGCGCGATTTGGAGAAGTTTTTACGGAGTTTTTTCAATGGAAAAAGTGGCGTCGGCAACGTGGGACCATAAGGGTGGTGAACATCTGCCCCTGTTACCCCCACCGCTAAAAGCGAGTGTTTTCGCCCCATTGGCGTCGGTTGGCGGCCATCATTGAACAGGCGTGTACCCCGCCACTAAGCGTCCGTTCACCCCTTGGAAAACGAGCGGCGTTTTATTCGAAACTTCGTCCCGTACTATAAAGCGTCGATTGAGATTAGGCGGCAGGATCTCGAAACGAAGATCATCGGAACTTTCTGCATAGATACACAAGCTTTTTTCCGCGTATTTCAAATATTTTTAGTGTTTTTTTGCTTAATTTTAATCGAGTCGATTAGGAAGTTGTTGCCTTATATGCTTTATGCAAATTTTATCCAGCGTTTTTGAATTTAACGGTCTTTGGGGCGCGCCATCTCTATTCCAGGAGAGGAAATGCTAGTGCTAGGAAAGGGTTCCACGTCCATTGATTCATTTTTTCCAGTAAAACTTGATGCTTTCTTAAAATAAAATTTATTAGAAAAATAAGAGTGGAAGAAAAACCGTTTTCAACAATTGTTTAACGGGATGTAATATTGAAAGAAAAAGTTGGGGTGTAAAATTCTGTTATTTTTGCTTTACTGGTCCGACTTTCCTCTGTTTTATTAGGGAGACACCACGATATGAGTTTCAATTAGCAGCAAATTAAAAATTCGTATTTGGATTAAACGACTTTTGTGCGCGTCATCGCGCCTTGCTGGGTTAAAGTGTTGTTGGTAGTCCAAACGCTGTTTTCTTCGATAAGGATCTTCGCAAAAATTAAGGAACAAACTGAAAATATATTGCAATAAGTCGCTGGAAAGAGGAACTTTTCAGAAATGTTACATTTTATTAACAATTATATTTTTTAATTCATGTAGGGCAAATGGAAAAAATCTTATGACAAAAATTGTTGATAAATTAAAATATAGAGATTGCAGCCAGCACCCGTCCATCATCTAGTGTCTCATTTACCCTAACGTGGTGTATACTTGACTAATTCGCGAAAGCCTTTATCCTTTGACATTCCCACAGTGATGCTAGATCGGTAAAACTTAAAAAATTCCCGCTTTCCCTAGATTTTCAAAAAAAAAATAAAAACAAAAATGTTAAGTGAAGCAAAAAAGGTAATTGAAACGGTAAATTAGGAAATTTAAAGTGTAAGAAAATGGAACTCATAATTTTGCTTCAATTTGTATTGTTCTTATTTATGCTTTTAAATTCAAGCTTTAATTTAATTAAGTATTTGACAAAGTTTATGTAGTAGTCGATGGGGCAGTTGCAAATCACACTCACTGCAGGTGTATTGGTTTTTGCATCAATACAATTCAAAAATTTCGAAAATCTCGATAATTATAACAAATCCTTTTCCTTTTGCCTGAGCAAAAGCCCTAGAACTAGGGAAAAATTCCCTAGTCTGGCATCACCACCATCCCAGAGAATCTCGGTGACATTCGCAGATCACACAGTAACCTTTGTGATCTGTGGTGACATTGACGTTACTACAACAACACAAGTGTGCGAAAGGTAGTGTTTTGAGTTAAAAGTAGTGTATTTTAGTGTGTTTTTTTGGTGCGTGTGTATAATTAAGGGCACAACAAGTCGTTATATCCGCATTGATTTGCCAATCCAACAATTAGGTTATCCCCAATTCTTTTCTCGCTTCATTCAGCCCACCCGTTTAAGGGCTTGTCGGCATCTTGTGGCATCCAGAGCTAGTTTGGTAACGGTATCAGGTGACTGGGGCCCCATGTCCGGTGCTGAATGAGCTAAGTTGGTGCTTTTATGGTGTTATTCAAAGACATGAGTTCCCAACAGAGTCCATCAAATTCAACGTTTGAGCGTGAGAAAGTGTTTCAATGGATTTTGGAGTTGACCAGTCCAGAGACTAGAGAAAATGCCCTGTTTGAACTTAGGTAAGCAGGTTATCTGGTAGGGAATGGGAACTGTCTACAGGTCATGTTAAATTTAGTAAGAAAAGAGAAATTGTGGCCGACTTGGCTCCAATGCTATGGAACAGCTTTGGAACGATTGCCGCTTTGCTGCAAGAGATTCTCATCATCTATCCAGCGATTAATCCTCCCACGTTGACGGCGCATGAATCCAATAGGTGCGTGTTTAATGAAAAAGTAACCGGTTGAGTAACTAGTGAGTTTTTTAAGGGTTTGCAATGCTTTGGCCCTTCTGCAATGTGTAGCGTCGCATCCAGAGACCAGATCCAACTTTTTAGTGGCGCATATCCCGCTCTTTCTTTATCCATTTTTGCACACCGTGTCCAAAACCAGACCATTTGAGTACTTGCGCTTAACAAGTCTGGGCGTTATTGGCGCTTTAGTTAAGGTAGGACTAAAGGCAGTTTTTTTTATTGGGAAAGTGCACAGGGCTTTTTTCCAGACCGATGAACAAGAAGTGATTACTTTTCTGTTGACGACGGAAATTATTCCACTGTGTCTCAGGATAATGGAAACGGGATCGGAACTCAGCAAGACAGTAGCTACGTTCATCTTACAGAAGATTCTTTTGGACGAGAGCGGATTGTCTTACATTTGTCAGACCTATGATCGATTTAGTCACGTGGCAATGATCTTGGTGCGTTGAGACGCAGGTGTTAATAACTAATGTTTTAGTTTACTCACTGGTTTTTAGGGCAAAATGGTTCTATCTTTAGCCAAGGACCCTTCTGCACGATTGTTGAAGCATGTTGTCAGGTGTTACTTGCGACTATCCGATAACCCAAGGTAGATTGCTCAAGAGCCTGGATGGGTGGCGTTTCTAATAGCCTTTGGGGGTTTCAGAGCACGTGAAGCTCTTCGGCAATGTCTTCCTGATCAGTTGCGGGACAGCACGTTCAACAACTGCCTTCAAGAAGACAAGTCTACTAAGCATTGGCTGCAGCAGTTAATAAGGAACTTAGACTCAACAGCAGCTAGTGATCCCAGACAAGTGGGCATGTCGCCATTGGCTACACAGTAAAGTGGACGAGCGAATGAGGCACAATTTGCGTATCGGAATAGTTGCATTGTAACATCTCCTTGATTAATTTAATTATAAGTGTGGCCCGATTGATTCATTTTTTGTCTACATGGTGGTAATGCTGTGCGTTTTTTTCTAAAGTTAGTGTGTACAGAAACGCGATAGAGAGCAGGATTGATGTAAATTAGAACGAGGTTTACATTATTAAACCGATGTAATTTTTTTGCGCATTTTATTGGTCGTGTGCACATAAAAATTCCCTTTGCAATTCCTCTATCCGCCGCAATTACATTTGATGGTTCGCTGATTCCAACTGATGCACGTTTGAACCAGCACGTGAACTCCCCTTATAAGATTTCAGTGGCGTGGTGGGCCTGGGGGGTGCGGCCCAGGGCCTGGAGGTGGATGTGGACCAGGACCTAAAAAATATTGTTTTTAATTTGCGTGCAATGCAAAGCAATGATGTGCTGTTTAGAATAATGATAAGTGAGGAATGTCGGCACTCGAAATATTTCCAGCAAATATCTAAGATAACACAGATTAAGGCCTCGGCCAAAAGACGAAATTCCCTTCGATGACCCCCTAATTTTCGCACTAATGGTTGAAAATAGTTCACTGTTTAATCCAGTGTTTTTTTACAGTGATTTGCAACTGATGATGAGCGCAACACTTACCGCTATGGTGAGGAGGACCTGGTGGCCCTGGGGGACCGGGAGGGCCGGGGGGCCCACGGCGATGAGGATCGTGAGGCGGCGGAGGCGGAACCATTTTTCCAACTATGATGAGAACCAAAAGCCACCCGGTTTTAATGGTGGCAACCTGGAATACGGCGAGGTGAGCTTTCTGGAAAATGGTCAATTATTTCTTCTCCTCTAAGCGAGCTTCTAGACGAGTAAGTTCATTTAAAGGCGCAAAAATCAGGAGTTAACTCCATTTTATTGAAAATTTTAGGCTTGAAGTGTTGGCAATTGAGTCTTAAAAAAGTCGCCAGTCGCCACTCGCTATTCTTTCGAAAAACTTTTCTAGACAAGAGTTTTCACATCTGGGTCCAAAAACTGAGAATTTTATGCGATTTTATTGAAAATTTGATCGTTTCAAGCCTCAAGTGTTCCTTAAGGATTCGGAACTTCCAAAATTTCCCAACTCATGCTTCACTGTCTAAAAGTGCCATTTAGTTCTCTCTCTGCTCTAGCGCAATTTATTCCCGAGAAATGAGCAAAAACGTGACGAAAAACATGAAATTTTGCCCCAATCTTAGAGAGCGCACATTCAGCTTGCATAAAACATTGAACTTGAAACTTGATTTCAACATTCTTTTAAGCGAGAACTATTGGAAATCGACCGGAGAAATGGTACGAATTTTTAAAAGAGGGCGAACTTTTTTCTTTCTTTACTGCTTTCGATCTGCCGTGTGAATGGAAGTGGAACTCATGCAAAGAGAGCGAGCTTTTGAAAAATTCCTAAAAATAGTGAACAATTTACGTTCAATAAGGCAAAATCCCGCATTTAAAATGTTGGGAATTAAATGTTGTTTAAAGAATGCAACTTCCATAAGCAAAAGAGTTTCGAATCGACATTTGAAACTACGAGACTAAAGGAAAACTACAGGATTTCGGCCCACTGCACTCGCCATAAACATTCCAAATTAATCATCCAGGTGCGGAGCTGCAAGATAAGATAAACCTTCCAATATATCAATTGCGCAATGATGGATTGCACTAAGGAAAATGACGGAATTTTATATTAATAGACGTGGAAATGATGACTCAATGCATGTGCCCTAAACGATCCTTTTAGCCCTAATCTCTGCCCATCAGAACACCAGTAGAGCCATTGCGGAGCGTTTTAGGCAGCATAATCTAAAATGCTGCTGGGAGCTGTGGTGTTTTTGCTTGCTCTATTGGGTGTTGAGGGCAAAATACGCATCCAACTGCCCACGTCCTCTCAGTGTTTACGCGAGGTTTTAGCCCATGTGGGACCCACAAGATCAATTCAGATCCTTTCAGGCGATTACGCTGATTTGAAGGGGCAAACCTTGATTGGGGCCCCCAGCTTAGCTGAAGCTCCGCAAGTATACTGGATTGCTTCGCAATCCAGTGAACAGCTCAATGTCACCTTAAAAGCCCTAGTTGAGGCTCCTGAGTACAAATCAGCTACGTTCGTTATTGTCGCTGATCCAACCACTGAGCAAAGTGCAGTGGACATTCTCTGGAAGTTCCGGTAGATGGTTTAATCGGGATCACAGTACATTGCGTATTTAAACCATCACTCTTTTGATATTTCGTTGCAGATTGCTGGATTCTCTAGTAGTGAGCTCGCAAGGCATCTTCACAGTGGCATTGATCAAATGTGGGGCCACCGTAAGGGCAAAGAAAGTGGGCAGTTGCACCAGCCCCGACCTGCAGGAGTTCGACTTCAAGCAAGCCTTCCTGGGATGCCCCTTAAAGGTCCTGTGGGTTCGCTATCCGCCCTACATGTACGAGCCCAATCAAACGTCCGGCTGGAAGGGGATTTTTGTGGATTTCCTGGAAGCAGTGGGCCACGGTTTGCAACGTCCAATCCAACTGGCTCCAAGCGATGCCGACTATCTAGACGAAGTCTACCAGGGCTACAGCTACGATTCGGTGTTGCGAGACCTTCAGGAGGCCGATTTGTTTATCGGCACTGCCGACACCAGAACGGCCGAGCTTTTCTATTTATCGCCCATTATAGTGAGCGATTACGTAACAATGCTGGCGCCTAGAGCTTTGGTGGACTATTGGAGCCACCTCAGACGAGCTCTGAGTCTCACGCTGCTGATCCTGTTCGGGGCGATGTTTTTCTCAATGGCTGCGGTGCTGTTCGGATTGAGCCAATTGAGGGATGGAGCGAGCCGAGTTGCTGATATAGTGATGCTGCTCTATGGGGTCTCGATGGGTTTGAGCGGCCATGCGAGGCTTTCGGACTATTCGCCGCTGAGGCTTTTCCTGGGTAAGCGAACTCCAGCTCTACATACTTTCTCCACATCGAATTTGCATTATTTTTTTACGGGAGAATGTGTAAAAAATGTTCGTTTTGTCGACGCAAAAATGTTTGTCGAAATCGTATCCATCTGGATTGGGAAGTTCTGTTGCGAGCAAGTAAAAATCTGTTAGTTTGGAAAGTGATTATGTGCGTCTGCCACACCGCTGCAAATGGAGGGTTGAGCTCAAATGCAGCAATTAAAACTTCTTGAATTCAAGCATTTTTTGGGAAAACTGCCAACATTTTCTTATCGATGGCTCACTTTCTAAAAAGGCCATTTATTTCTGTCTAGA